TCCACCAGGAGGCCTGGTCACAGACCGGGCCGCGGGGGCGTTCACCGCCGGAACTCTCTCCAGGTAAACTCCAGGTAAACACTACAGTCTTACAAGACACACTACAGTCTTACAATACACACTACAGTCTTACAAGACACACTACAGTCTTACAAGACACTGTAGTCTTACAAGACACACTACAGTCTTAAAAGACACACTACAGTCTTACAAAACACTGTAGTCTTACAAGACACACTACAGTCTTACAAGACACACTACAGTCTTACAAGACATGCTACAGTCTTACAAGGCACACTACAGCCTTGCAAGACACAGTCTAGTCTTACAAAGCACACTACAGTCTTACAAGACACACTACAGTCTTAAAAGACACACTACAGTCTTACAAGACACAGTCTAGTCTTACAAAACACTCCACAGTTTTACAAGACACTCTACAGTCTTACAAGACACACTACAGTTTTACAAGACACACTACAGTCTTACAAGACACACTGAAGTCTTACAAGACACACTATAGTCTTACAAGACACACTACAGTCTTAAAAGACACACTACAGTATTACAAGACACACTACAGTCTTACAAGACACACTACAGTCTTACAAGACACACTACAGTCTTACAAGACACACTACAGTATACAAGACACACTACAGTCTTACAAGACAAACTACAGTCTTACAAGACACACTACAGTCTTACAACACAAACTACAGTCTTACAAGGCACACTACAGCCTTGCAAGACACAGTCTAGTCTTACAAAGCACACTACAGTCTTACAAGACACACTACAGTCTTAAAAGACACACTACAGTCTTACAAGACACAGTCTAGTCTTACAAAACACACTACAGTTTTACAAGACACTCTACAGTCTTACAAGACACACTACAGTCTTACAAGACACACTGAAGTCTTACAAGACACATTATAGTCGTACAAGACACACTACCTGGAGTTTACCTGGAGAGAGTTCCGGGGGTCAACGCCCCCGCGGCCCGGTCTGTGACCAGGCCTCCTGGTGGATCAGAGCCTGATCAACCAGGCTGTTACTGCTGGCTGCACGCAAACCAACGTACGAGCTACAGCCCGGCTGATCCGGAACCGACTTTAGGTGCTTGTCCAGTGCCAGCTTGAAGACTGCCAGGGGTCTGTTGGTAATCCCCCTTATGAAAAGCAGGGGTGTCACTAGCACGTTAAGAGACCATACAATAAGTGTCAGGGGCCCGAGACTGTTCAACTGCCTCCCAGCTCACATAAGGGGGATTACCAACAGACCCCTGGCAGTCTTCAAGCTGGCACTGGACAAGCACCTAAAGTCAGTTCCTGATCAGCCGGGCTGTGGCTCGTACGTTGGTTTGCGTGCAGCCAGCAGCAACAGCCTGGTTGATCAGGCGCTGATCCACCAGGAGGCCTGGTCACAGACCGCGGGGGCGTTGACCCCCGAAACTCTCTCCAGGTAACTCCAGGTATGTATGCTGGGAGGCAGTTGAACAGTCTCGGGCCCCTGACACTTATTGTATGGTCTCTTAACGTGCTAGTGACACCCCTGCTTTTCATTGGGGGGATGGTGCATCGTCTGCCAAGTCTTTTGCTTTCGTAGTGAGTGATTTTCGTGTGCAAGTTCGGTACTAGTCCCTCTAGGATTTTCCAGGTGTATATAATCATGTATCTCTCCTGCCTGCATTCCAGGGAATACAGGTTTAGGAACCTCAAGCGCTCCCAATAATTGAGGTGTTTTATCTCCGTTATGCGCGCCGTGAAAGTTCTCTGTACATTTTCTAGGTCGGCAATTTCACCTGCCTTGAAAGGTGCTGTTAGTGTGCAGCAATATTCCAGCCTAGATAGAACAAGTGACCTGAAGAGTGTCATCATGGGCTTGACCTCCCTAGTTTTGAAGGTTCTCATTATCCATCCTGTCATTTTTCTAGCAGATGCGATTGATACAATGTTATGGTCCTTGAAGGTGAGATCCTCCGACATGATCACTCCCAGGTCTTTGACGTTGGTGTTTCGCTCTATTTTGTGGCCAGAATTTGTTTTGTACTCTGATGAAGATTTAATTTCCTCGTGTTTACCATATCTGAGTAATTGAAATTTCTCATCGTTGAACTTCATATTGTTTTCTGCAGCCCACTGAAAGATTTGGTTGATGTCCGCCTGGAGCTTTGCAGTGTCTGCAATGGAAGACACTGTCATGCAGATTCGGGTGTCATCTGCAAAGGAAGACACGGTGCTGTGGCTGACATCCTTGTCTATGTCGGATATGAGGATGAGGAACAAGATGGGAGCTAGTACTGTGCCTTGTGGAACAGAGCTTTTCACCGTAGCTGCCTCGGACTTTACTCTGTTGACGACTACTCTCTGTGTTCTGTTAGTGAGGAAATTATAGATCCATCGACCGACTTTTCCTGTTATTCCTTTAGCGCGCATTTTGTGCGCTATTACGCCATGGTCACACTTGTCGAAGGCTTTTGCAAAGTCTGTATATATTACATCTGCATTCTTTTTGTCTTCTAGTGCATTTAGGACCTTGTCGTAGTGATCCAGTAGTTGAGACAGACAGGAGAGACCTGTTCTAAACCCATGTTGCCCTGGGTTGTGTAACTGATGGGTTTCTAGATGGGTGGTGATCTTGCTTCTTAGGACCCTTTCAAAGATTTTTATGATATGGGATGTTAGTGCTATTGGTCTGTAGTTCTTTGCTGTTGCTTTACTGCCCCTTTGTGGAGTGGGGCTATGTCTGTTGTTTTTAGTAACTGAGGGACGACCCCCGTGTCCATGCTCCCTCTCCATAGGATGGAAAAGGCTCGTGATAGGGGCTTCTTGCAGTTCTTGATGAACACAGAGTTCCATGAGTCTGGCCCTGGGGCAGAGTGCATGGGCATGTCATTTATCGCCTGTTCGAAGTCATTTGGCGTCAGGATAACATCGGATAGGCTTGTGTTAATCAAATTTTGTGGCTCTCTCATAAAAAATTCATTTTGATCTTCGACTCTCAGTCTGGTTAGCGGCTTGCTAAAAAACTGAGTCATATTGGGACTTGAGTAGCTCACTCATTTCCTTGCTGTCATCTGTGTAGGACCCATCTTGTTTAAGTAGGGGCCCAATACTGGACGTTGTTCTCGATTTTGATTTGGCATAGGAGAAAGAAATACTTTGGGTTTCTTTCGATTTCATTTATGGCTTTTAGTTCTTCCCGCGATTCCTGACTCCTAAAGGATTCTTTTAGCTTAAGTTCGATGCTTGCTATTTCTCTGACCAGTGTCTCCCTACGCATTTCAGATATATTGACATCTTTTAGCCGCTCTGTTATTCTTTTCCGTCGCCTGTAAAGGGAGCGCCTGTCTCTTTCTATTTTACATCTACTCCTCCTTTTTCTTAGAGGAATAAGCCTTGTGCATACATCGAGTGCCCCCGAGTTAATCTGTTCTAGGCATAAGTTGGGGTCTGTGTTGCTTAGTGTATCTTCCCAGCTTATATCGGTTAGGACTTGGTTTACTTGGTCCCACTTTATGTTTTTGTTATTGAAGTTGAATTTGGTGAATGCTCCCTCGTGACTAGTCTCATTTTGTCGGTCTGGGGCTCCACGCATACATGTCTGAACCTCAATTATGTTGTGATCTGAGTATATTGTTTTTGATATGGTGACATTTCTTATCAGATCATCATTGTTAGTGAAGATGAGGTCTAGTGTATTCTCCAGTCTAGTAGGTTCTATTATTTGCTGGTTTAAATTGAATTTTGTGCAGAGATTTAAAAGCTCGTGTGAGTGTGAGTTTTCATCAGAGCTGCCTCCTGGTGTTATTACTGCAACAATATTATTTGCTATATTCCTCCATTTTAGGTGCCTTAAGTTGAAATCCCCCAGGAGCAAGATGTTGTGTACATCCTTTGTAGAGCCCTCTATCCTACCAGAATCCCAGCTGTGCCACCTGTGTACACCCTTGGAAGAGCCCTCTATCCTACCAGGATCCCAGCTATGCCACCTGTTTACACCCTTGGTAGAGCCCTCTATCCTACCAGGATCCCAGCTAATGCCACCTGTGTACACCCTTGGTAGAGCCCTCTATCCTACCAGGGTCCCAGCTATACCCCCTATGTACACCCTTGGAAGAGCCCTTTATCCTTCCAGGATCCTAGCTATGCCACCTGTGTACACCCTTGGTAGAGCCCTCTATCCTACCAGGTTCCCAGCTATGCCACCTGTGTACACCCTTGGTAGAGCCCTTTATCCTTCCAGGATCCCAACTATGCCACCTGTGTACACCCTTTGTAGAGCCCTTTATCTTTCCAGGATCCCAGCTATGCCACCTGTGTACACCCTTGGTAGAGCCCTTTATCCTTCCAGGATCCCAGCTGTGCCACCTGTGTACACCCTTGGTAGAGCCCTTTATCCTTCCAGGATCCCAGCTGTGCCACCTGTGTACACCCTTGGTAAAGCCCTTTATCCTTCCAGGATCCCAGCTGTGCCACCTGTGTACACCCTTGGTAAATTATTATTATTATAATCAAGGGGAAGCGCTAAACCCGTAGGATTATACAGCGCCTGGGAGGGATGTGGAAGGCATTCAGGCTTAATTCGGGGAACTGGAGCACAGATCCAATTCCCTAAATCAAGAGCCCCTCACCAACATCAAGGAACCTTCCCTGAGGGGCACCCTTGGTAAAGCCCTTTATCCTTCCAGGATCCCAGCTGTGCCACCTGTGTACACCCCTGGTAAAGCCCTTTATCCTTCCAGGATCCCAGCTGTGCCACCTGTGTACACCCCTGGTAAAGCCCTTTATCCTTCCAGGATCCCAGCTGTGCCACCTGTGTACACCCTTGGTAAAGCCCTTTATCCTTCCAGGATCCCAGCTGTTCCACCTGTGTACACCCTTGGTAAAGCCCTTTATCCTTCCAGGATCCCAGCTGTGCCACCTGTGTACACCCTTGGTAAAGCCCTTTATCCTTCCAGGATCCCAGCTGTGCCACCTGTGTACACCCTTGGTAGAGCCCTTTATCCTTCCAGGATCCCAGCTGTGCCACCTGTGTACACCCTTGGTAGAGCCCTCTATATAAGGTTACTAACAACTTAAACCGTCTGGGGACGGTGTAAGTTGTTAGTGACCTTATAAACGCCAACAAGCAGCATCATCACTGTTACTCGGACATAATTAACTACACGTTTCTGGTTATAAGATTCTAGGTTATCTATGCACCTTAGTGAGGCAGCTGCCACACTCCAGGAGGTTTACTAAAGTAAGTTTTAATATTAATCATCCAAAATTTGTTTAATTAAGCTTACGTAAGATTAACTTTCAGAAGTTCATTATATAAATTTTAACTTGGGCTAACTCGCTAAATTGAAATCAAATTAAACTCAGTCTTTATATCTAAGAACAGTACATAGACTTTACAGTAACTAAGTTCATTTTAGCCACAGTTTTGATGCAATTATGACAAAATATGTTTGATACAAGTGCATGTTCTAATGAGGCACATAATATGCGAATCATTTTCAGCAGGTTAAGCAATGTGACTATTACCACCTTATCATAAGTAACTTTATTGAAATATACACAAATACAGTTACATAGATTATCATACATAGCAGCATATTGTGTAGAGAACCTGAGATAATGCAACAAAGTCAGAGTGACTTATTTCTATTGGGGTCTTAGTGATAATTATTACTTATAGTTAAAAGTTAAAAACAGGTAAGTATCTTAATTATGTAAAAGTATTTACAATAAAATCAGATATAGTAGGGGAGAGATAAAATTAGGTATTTTCATACAAGAAATCACTTCCCTTTCTGCAGCCTTATTCATGAGGTACATTTTGGTTCTCAACTTGAACCCCTCAAGGAAGGTTCCTTGATGTTGGTGAGGGGCTCTTGATTTAGGGAATTGGATCTGTGCTCCAGTTCCCCAAATTAAGCCTGAATGCCTTCCACATCTCCCCCTCAGGCGCTGTATAATCCTCCGGGTTTAGCGCTTCCCCCTTGATTATAATAATAATAATAATAATCTCAACTTGAAGTGGCTCATGCTAGGCTGTCACTGGCTCTATAAACCCCATTAATAACAATGGGGACCTTTATTTAGGTGCTTGTGGCTCAGTTGATAGCAGCCTAAGCTCACTGAAGGACCTGGGATCAGTCCCATGAAAAATAGAAATATTGAAATAAGATTTGGGATTTTTAACTCGGGGTAGGAAGGGTTAGCTACCCTGGATAATGCAGGGTAGGAAGGGTTAGCTACCCATGATAACCCTGGGTAGGAAGGGTTAGCCACCCTGGATAACCCAGGGTAGGAAGGGTTAGCTACCCAGGATAACCCAGGGTAGGAAGGGTTAGCCACCCTGGATAACCCAGGGTAGGAAGGGTTAGCTACCCAGGATAACCCAGGGTAGGGAGGGTTAGCCACCCAGGATAACCTAAGAAATTCAAGTGTCATCAAGGACACTGGCATCCTTCAGTCTTGTCTCCCAGGATGCAACCTACACCAGTCGACTAACATCCAGGTACCTACGTACTGCTAGGTGAACAGGGACAGCAGGTGTATACCTAGAGAGGGTTTTGGGGTTAAATGCCCCCATATTGACCCCATGAAAAGAAACATGCCAGGAACAAACCATGGACAGTCAGTATGTGAGGCAAACATGTTGCCAATTGATCCACAAGACATTAGCCATGTTAAGTAAAAGGGCACAAGTACAACTAATGCAACACTTTATTGTGGCAACGTTTTGCTCTCCAGGAGCTTTGTCAAGCCATTAATGGCTTAACAAAGCACTTGGAGAATGAAACGTTGCCACAGTAAAATGTCGCATTAGTTGCAATTGTGTCCTTTTACTGAACATATTGTCAGTAATTCTACCAACATTAATATGACATTAGCCATGATGCCCCTGTTCATCTATCATAAGCAGGAACCTGGTTGGTAACCAACACTGGAGTTTACCTGGAGAGAGTTCCGGGGATCAACGCCCCCGCGGCCCGGTCTGTGACCAGGCCTCCTGGTGGATCAGAGCCTGATCAACCAGGCTGTTGCTGCTGGCTGCACGCAAACCAACGTACGAGCCACAGCCCGGCTGGTCAGGAACCGACTTTAGGTGCTTGTCCAGTGCCAGCTTGAAGACTGGTGTAGGTCGCATCCTGGGGGTGACGATTAAAGAATCTCATTGGAAATAAATACAAGTTACAGTAGTGTTACATTCCAGTTGATTTATTTTTTTTAATAATTATAATACAAATTTAATTTGATACAATTGCAAGCTCAGAAGAAATCCATTTATTATGCAATGCCCTTCCAGCAAACTAATCATATAGTTGCTAATGTACTACTTAAATCTTGACCTAGCATATAATTTTGGCCATGGTTTATCAGTGTAGCTTGAGTAATTCATTAAAATCACAAGTTCAGTGAGACAAGTTGTAATTGACAAATTGGACAATTACAAATAATTTATGTTTATTTTAAATTAGTTTAATGGTTTGTATTGTATGGAGTTGAATTAAGTGGTGAAATCAAAGCATGAGAATTTATAAGCAGTTCATGGATATTAAATTTATGTGAGATTTAATAGGTGCTTTTAAGCAATATTAGTAGAGATGTTGGCAGATGGGGAACTTTAGGCATTTTCAGACAGTGAGTGCCATATTTTTAGTCCTTTTTAGGTGGTGCAAATAATATAGTTCACATGTAATAAAACTTTGATAGTCACAAAAGAAAGCCAATAATTATGCACTGCATTTCAGGCAAACTAATCCTAATGATTAAATGTTACTTGAGGAGCTCACAAACATATCTACTTGGATGACTACCCATAAACTCCCTTTTAATATTAATAACACAATTGACATAATGTTTGGCAACAGAGCTACAAATGTGCAACTCAGTACAATGATTAATGATTCACAGTAATTTACAATTCAACACACACACCAGCATATAACCAACAAGGCCCCCAAAACAATGGGCATCCTCTCAGAAATGCATTACTATTTACCTCAGATAGTATTACTTACACTTCTACTCTTTAATTAATCTATACCTCTCACATATGGTATTTGTGCCTGTAGATCTACTACAGAACATCACCCAAAGCTAATAATAACTCAGCAAAAACTTGCTGTACAATTGATCATCCCCCTGTACATCTTTGATATCCCCATATTTGACTTGACTTAAAAACTTGATGTTCATAAAAAGCCATAAAATTTGGAACACCCTGCCTGAAGAGTCCAAGGATCCTTTACCTGCCAACTGCTTCAAAGCTACTGTTAAAAAGCGCCTTAACATGATTCCCAGCTGCTTTATCTACTTTTATTTTACTCTCTTCCCCACGCTCACATCCAACTCTTACTCCAAAAAGATATTATACCTCCCTGGCCATTGCATGAAATAACAGCTTCCCTCTCCATCATCGTTTAACAGTTCCTCAAAATATTACCCCTCTCTTCCCAATACCTCCAAATCCCCACTTAATATATCGATTCTTCTGTTTCTAACTGTCAAAACCATTCATTCTCTAGACTTACTCAGTTTTTAATCTCACTACAAAACTTTTTCTTATTCTCAGCAAAATTTGTTGACAGCATCTCACCCACTTTCATTTCCTCTCCTTTTACATTTCTTTACCACTCTCTTTACCTCTTATTTACTTTCCATATACTACTCCTTCCTTATATCACTTTTGCTTTGCAAAAACCTGTCATATGCTAACTTTTTCTCTTACCGCTCACTGTACCTCATTCCACCAATTAATCCTCATCCCTCCTGCACCCACAAACTTTATTTCTATAAAGTGGAGTACAGTATATTATACAGTTAGTGTGATTGATATACATAAACTACATTATAGAAAGTTATTTATTATGCAAATCACTTCAGGCAGCCTTAAAGCTAAATTATGATTACAAGTATACTCTCTTATATCCAGAAACTTCTGCTGCACATATATTATTTATTATAACTATTGTCATTATTATTACTAATTTAAAAAAAAAAAAAGAGTAGGTAAGACCTGCCTCTGGCTTATTACGGAGCTCTACATGTACACTGCTACAGTACCAAGCACCTGAATCAACTGTAGAAAAAGTTTTGTCAGATGAAGTGTTTTTCAGATAACTTTCTTAGGGACCAGAAAACTTTTGTTAGCAATGAGTTTTTGTGATACTATATAGTATCTATTACAGGTTGACCATCACTGATCTGACATCATCAGAACCTGTAGGGTGCCAGATTAGTGATTTTTTGTTGGATTACAGAGTGGTTAGGTTAGAATACACTTAACGCAACGGCGATATTTACGCATTGGCAATTTCACCCACCTTACCCTCTATTTTTGGCCAGTCTATCCAACTCATAGCTGTTTTATTAGTATTCCTTCTATTTTCTTGATTGAGTTGTGTGCGGCCAGCAGTAACAGCCTGGTTGATCAGGCCGTGATCCACCATGAGGCCTGGTCACAGACCGGGCTGCAGGGGCATTGACCCCCAAAACCCTCTCCAGGTATACTCCAGGTGTCAACAACCCAATAAAGTGGTCAGAAATTGGTAATTTGGCCAATTTCACACATATTTCAAGAGTTGCCAATTTCAAAATAGGGTTCAGAATAAACATGTGACATTCTTGGCACTAAAATAACATTTTCTCTGCTTATTAGTCACTTCTCCAGGCCCCTCTTATATTATGCCTACTTCTTATTTTGAATTTTTATTCACACAAAAAATAGAAGATTTACTGTTATGCAGTCTACTGCATTATTGTAACAATTGTATTAATAATGTCAACCCATTCATGACTGCATATTAGACTGGCCAGTTGGATACGTATTGGATGGTGGCGTCGTTTACTTTTGAACATTGGCAAAAATCAAACATTTCCACTACTCTGAGCTCAAGTTCAATATACTTTCCATTGTGAAACCAGTCAAAATCATATCTACTTCTGTAATGTATCTTCCATTCTATCAAATGAGATAAAAAAAAACGAGAATACTACCATAAAAAAAACATAAGAAAATACACCACAAAGTTACTGTTTTACACTAAAAACACAGTCGCAATTTTTTGCTCATTATGAATTGTTTTCTGCAGGATTTTTTTTTATATTCTTTGTTCATCAGTCACGTCTCCAGGCCCCTCTGATATTACTCTTGCTTTCTTACTTTCAATTTTTATTCAAACAAAAAATAGAAGATTTACCGTTATGCAGACTACTGCAATATTGTAATAATTGTACAAATAATGTCAACCCATTCATGACTGTGTATTAGAATGGCTAGTTGGACATTTATTGGACAATGACATCATTTGTTTACTTTTGAACATCGGCAAAAATCAAACATTTTCCCTACTTTGAGGTCCATTTCCAGGCTCTTTTTTATAGTAAAACCAATCAAAATCACCTCTATTTCTATAATATGTTTTCCTTTCTGTCAAATGAGACCAAGAAAACGAGAATAGAACGATAAATACTATATGAAAATAGACCACAAATTCGGCATTTTAATTAAAAAAAATGGTCGGAGTTTTTTTTTTCTCATTATGCACTGCATGCTCCAGGATTTTTTTTTTTATATGGTGCACACTGACCACACAGACCCATTCTCTCACATGTGGGTCTACCAGCTTTCTCCTGCTTGATTTGAAGCCGCAAGAATTTATGAGTATATATACGTCAAACACGGTACCTCATAAGATGTATATATACGACCAAAACAGTCAAAGGGTTAATATAGACCTTTCCATTAATCCATCTATGAAATTTTTTCAAAATTATGTAATAAACACCCTACATAACACAAACATGATACATACACCCACAGTATAAAAATTTACGTAAATATGAGATTTGTTTACCAAGCGGTTTGTAGGAGTGTTGGAACAATTACGTTTTCTCTGGTCAAATACAAGTCACTTAACTGTAGAAAAATATTCCTTTCATATGCCTTCACACTATAGCTATTCACAACCCTTGTGGGTTTATCACTTCTTTTTTATTATGATTATAATTACAAGAATAATAATAATAATATCATCATTCACTCTAAAAATGGTGTGTTGCATGAGAATGGGAGTGTTGCTGTTTATTTATTCTGTACTAACTTGTCAGAGCATCATTCCTTCTAAAAATGATGTTACATGAGAATGGAAGTGTTGCTCTTAATTCATTCTTCTGTAACACTGTGGAGACAACTTGTACACAATGTAAGGTGTTTGTATGAACATGTATCAACCATAACCAGACACTTCGTTCATTTATTTACATAGTAACCTACCTCCCACACCTGACTTTCTACAAATATATACTTTTCACCGCTCACCCTACATTAAGACCATTAAGACTACAAATATTTTAAGGTAAGTAATGAGTGTACTGTATATGCATTTTATCACTCTAGGGTGCTTTAAGCCTCATAGTATATTATGTGTGGGTGGGGTGGCCAGGAGGGCTACCATACCTACCCACATCTGACTTCTTACAATAAATACTACTCACCTTTTGCCCTACATTAAGACTACAAGTATTTTGAGGTAAATAATGAGTGTACTGTGTGTGTATTTTACTTTTTATTGTTTTTAATGCCTAGTTCTATTGCTAACTTATTTATGTTAGTGTAAACTTGTTATCTGGCATTTATATGCATTTACAAGTGGAAAAAATGGCGTTCTGCTTTCCGGCGATGTCTCCTTTGCGGCAGTGGTCTGGAACCTAACCTGCTGTATAAGTGGGGCCCTACTGTACTATAAAATGTTCTTCTACATTGCTTAATTTATCTGCTTTTTTACCCCTGTAAGGAATTTATTAAGATATATTGTTTCCCAAAGATGAATACAGTATGCAAAAAAATGCTGCAAGCAGTAATGACTATGTGTTGTTTTCCTGGCAGATGGCAGAGCAGAATGGAGACGTGATGAATCCATTTTTAAAAGGACGGGGTATAATCCAAGGCAGTGGAATGAAAGTTATTGGTTCTAGTACTTCTTCTGGATCAAACACCAGTATGTCTGCTCGGTTGCCATCTTTTCGTGGACCACGTGACCTGACTTTGTCGGCATCATCGTCTGCAATTCCTGTGAAACCTAGCCTTATGACTAGAACTCGCAAAACATTTTCACCAAATATTCCTGTTAGAAGAGGGAAAACTGAAAGTGTGATGTAAGTGAATTTTATCAAGCATATTTAATTTTCCTGCATCAATAAAGGTTTGTAGAAAGGCTTTAACATGCCAAGGCTTTCATTACAGTATTAGTTTTACATGCATCTTCGGCCAAAAAATTATTTTAATGGGCAATTTATCAGTTATTATCTAAAAGGCATACATGGTTATTGATTTTACATTTATGTTATGAGTAGAGGAAAGCTATATAACTGAGGATACAATATCTTTCAAAATTTGTATATTATTGAAATATTTAAAGCTAGTTGGATGTTGAAGGAGAATATTGTAAAGTGACTCAAGTTTTGTAAAGGGTGAATTGCTGTTTACAATGAATATTAGAGTATCCAACACAACAAGTCAAATTAAAACATTATGGGGTCAGAGGCCATGCTTTCACTTGCTTAAAGTCATACTTCAGTGACAACACCTGCATGTGACCATTGATGACAGTGCTTCACCTACTCAACCAACCAACATAGGGCAGCATCCTGGGTCCTCTAATATTTCTCACTTATTTCAGTAACCTTTCTAATGCCTCTCAGAAACTTAACTAATTCTATTGACACGTGACAGCACATTTTTCTTTTCAAGGGCAGATCTTATTTCCCTCATCCACCTGGACCAACAACCTCACATTCAGCATAGATAATACCATCTATATCTTGTTTGGGCATGCGTGAGCGTGTTTGATAGGAGTGAATGGAGACAAATGGTTTTTAATACTTGACGTGCTGTTGGAGTGTGAGCAAAGTAACATTTATGAAGGGATTCAGGGAAACCGGCAGGCCGGACTTGAGTCCTGGAGATGGGAAGTACAGTGCCTGCACTCTGAAGGAGGGGTGTTAATGTTGCAGTTTAAAAACTGTAGTGTAAAGCACCCTTCTGGCAAGACAGTGATGGAGTGAATGATGGTGAAAGTTTTTCTTTTTCGGGCCACCCTGCCTTGGTGGGAATCGGCCGGTGTGATAATAAAAAAAAAAATAATAATCTTGTTTGGGAACAGAGCTTGAAATATTCAACACTTAGGCCACACTACACATGCACATTCGCATAAACGTATACACACCTATACAGCCTCTCCTCACTTAGTGACATACTCATTTACTGACGACTCAGACTTACGATGGGCTCTCTGACCAGTTTGCATACCTAAATAATGTATACTAGAGCTGATTTCGTCTATTCTGTTTATTACAATATACAGTACACTACCGTATAAACATTTAGAAATAGAGTAGACCATCATTTAACACAGTAGTTACGTTCCTGAAAACGCCTTGTTAGGCAAAACCACGTTAGACAAGCTGAAGAACTTATGGGAAAAATAGGGTTAGGTTCCTGGGAGCACCCAAAAAAGCCAAACAACTTTTTTTAGACCAACAGATCTTACAAAAATAAAAGTGAATATGTAATTGTAGTTCATTGTCGTGATGAGATTACAAATGCAGAAGAAAAAATAGTATTTCTTACCTTAAATTGTGGGTGCTGGTGTTTGTAGATGATTGTGAAGAGAGTGGAGAGTTGTGCTGTGGCCCTACTGGGCTAAGGTGGATGGTAAACGTAATGGTACTGAAGTCGATGGTTGTACTGGAGTGTACATAAATTCTGTAAGGGATTACTGTTCTATTTTACCCTACAGTACATTATACAGTTGACAGTAAGGCATCAGCTACTCTAGACACTGTTTCAGGGTTCTCTTCACTGAAAAAGTCTAAGTCATTCAGTAAGTCAGTCAGTTAGTCAAGTCATTCATTCAAGTCAGTAAGTCATTCAGTCAAGTCATTCAGTAAGTCAGCCAAGTCATTCAGTCAGTCAAGTCAGTAAGTCAGTCAAGTCATTCAGTAAGTCAGTCAGGTCATTCAGTAAGTCAGTCAAGTCATTCAGTCAGTCAAGGCAGTCAGTAAGTCAGTCAGTAAAGTCAGTAAGTCATTTAGTCAAGTCAGTAAGTCAGTCAAGTCATTCAATAAGTCAGTCAAGTCTTTCAGTAAGTCAGTCAAGTCATTCAGTAAGCCAGTCAAGTCATTCAGTAAGTAAGTCAAGTCATTCAGTAAGTCAGGTCATTCAGTAAATCAGTCAGTCAAGTCAGTTAGTAAGGCAATCAGTCAGTCACCACACAAACTCATATTTACCTCATTCTCTTTGTGTACAGAATGACGTTTCATGGCTACAGGCTATCTCTTGTCTAGTATCTCTATTTTCTTCATTAATTCTAAGACTTAAATGCTTAAACCTTTTCTTGCAACTTTCAGCAACACTGGTATGCCTACTGGGTGCCATGATTGCTTGGCAGATTTAAGATATGGCAGTTATTATGTATCTAAGCAAACACAGCGAGCTACTGGCACAGGTTCGTCCAACACACGTATGAACCAAACTGAAGGTTGGAAGGGTGGTTGGGGTGGCTGATGCTGGCTGGGGATGGCAGTAGGTCTCCCCCGTTGACTTAATGATGTAACCCACAGCCCATCCTGCCCCACGGGCGACCACACACACAAAATTTTTTCCCCTTCCGCAACCATGTTAAATTAATTTTACGAAGTGTTAAACAAAAATATGCCGCAATTCTTCAGTCATGCTATAACCAAAACGTGCCAGACAAAACCAAGTTAAACAACGGTCTACTGTATACTAGCAATGTAAGTGGTGCAAAGGTGACATTAGTGTATGCTGTCAGTGGCCCTATAAACCACAACAACAACAAGGTGACATTAAAACAATATCAAAGATGGTTAACACCAACCTACTACCATTATAGTATGCTCTTCACTTAGCAATGAATTTGTTCACCGACCTGGTCTTAGGAACGGAACTTGGTCGTTAAGTGAGGAGAAGCTGTATAAGTTTTCAACTATTTTCTTAATAGCTCTTTTTCTTAGTCATTTCCTTTCATCTCCTTGGAGAAGTGGAGAAAAATCCTTCCTCTTGTGAGAAAGGTAATATTTGAGGATTCATGGAAACCAGTTAGCTGGACCTGAGCCCTGGTGGTGGGAAGTATAGGGCCTGCACTTTAAAGAAGGGCCATCTGAATTGTAGTACTGGCATGCCTCTAGTAAGACAATGATGGAGTGAGTGATGGTGAAACTCTTCTTTTTCAGGTCTTCCTACCTCAGCTGGAGATGACCAGTGTGTTAAAAAACATGACTATCAATTTTTTACTTCATTAAAATACTAGACCATAGGGCTCCACTTATATGGCGGGTTAGGTCCCAGGCTACCACCGTAAAGTGGAACACCCTTTTATTCACTTATAAATGCATATAAATGCTAGAGAACAAGTTTACACTAAACTTAGCACTGGCAGATTACTTAATATTCTTTTTAACATGGAAATTTAGGTTTTTGTGTGACAGTTCAGCATGAATTTTGTTGTTAAAATAATAATTACATTTCATAATTTTATCCTCACACACATTAATTAATTATTATGGCATTCTGTTAATGTAACTTAAGCTATACAGTGGTACTCCGAGTTTCATACAGCTCCCAACTCGAACAGTTATGTAAGTGTATTATTGTAAGTGTTTTTGGGGGTCTGAAATGGACTAATCTAATTTACATTATTCCTAATGGGAACAAATTCATTTGGTAACGGCACTCGAACAGCCTTTTGGAACGAATTATGGCCAAAACTCAGGGTACCACTGTACTCTGCATAACCAAGAACCTCTCAAAAAATATATGAAATGTTACCTACTTTTGATACAGTTATATAAATGCCTTTTGAAAATAAAATTTGTTTATGTAATTTATTAATAATAAATTTTATATACAGTGGACCCCTGCATACTGATTTTAATCCGTGCAAGAGGGGTCATTGTTATGCGAAATAATCGGTATGCGAATGAATTTTCCCCATAAGAAATAATGGAAATCAAATTAATCCGTGCAAGACACCCAAAAGTATGAAAAAAAAATTTTTACCACATGAAATATACATTTTCCCACACACAAAGAGAAGGATACATGCACAATAGTAGAGTAGTACATGCACAGTATATATTGTGCATGTACTAGTCTACTAAATGAAGAATAAATGACACTTACCTTTATTGAAGATGCAGCAATGACTGATGAGACACTGTGTCCTGGGAGTGCCTTTTCCTCCTGAGTACTGTAGGTCCTGTTTGGCATTTTCTTCCAGAACAGGCCTTATCACACTGTGTATGCCACTACGATTCTTAAATCTCTCAAACCAACCTTTGCTGGCTTTAAATTCACCAATATGAGCACTAGTTCCAGGCATTTTTCCCTGTTCACCTGGGTGTTAGTCGACTTGTGTGGGTTGCATCCTGGGAGACAAGATTAAGGACCCCAATGGAAATAAGTTAGACAGTCTTCGATGACACTGACTTTTTTGGGTTATCCTGGGTGGCAAATCTCTGAGGTTAATTGTTTCTTGGTATTCTCAATAAGCCACACCAACAACGGTGCTACAGCAGCAGCAGCAGCTGACGGTGGTACAGCAGCAACAGACGATGCTACAGCAGCAGCAGACGATGCTACAGCAGCAGCAGATGATGCTACAGCAGCAGCAGCAGCTGACGGTGGTACAGCAGCAACAGACGATGCTACAGCAGCAGCAGATGATGCTACAGCAGCAGCAGACGATGCTACAGCAGCAGCAGCAGCTGACGGTGGTACAGCAGCAACAGACGATGCTACAGCAGCAGCAGACGATGCTACAGCAGCAGCAGACGATGCTACAGCAGCAGCAGCAGCAGCTGACGGTGGTACAGCAGCAACAGACGATGCTACAGCAGCAGCAGACGATGCTACAGCAGCAGCAGACGATGCTACAGCAGCAACAGACGATGTTACAGCAGCAGCAGACGATGCTACACAGCAGCAGCGTGAGGGTGGTACAGCAGCAACAGCCGATGCTAAGCAGCAGGGGACGATGCAAACAGCAGCAGCGACGATGCTACAGCACCCAGAAAAAAGGGGGGGGGCTGACGGTGGTACAGAAAAAAAACAGGGGTGCTAAAAGCAGCGGGCGGGACGATGCTACAGAAAGCAGCAGACGATGCTACAGAAAGAAGCAGCGACGATGTAAAGCAGCGGCAGCAGCTGACGGTGGGTACAGCACCCAACAGCAAATGTACGCAGCAGCAGACGATGTACAGCAGAAACAGACGAGGGTTACAGAAAGCAGCAGACGATGCTACAGCAGCAGCAGCAGTTTGCGGTGGTACGCAGCAACAGCGAGGGCTACAGAAACCCAACAGACGATTTTAAACAGCAGCAAGCCCCGATGCTACGCGGCAGCAGCAGCTGACGGGGCAGCAGCAGCAGAAAGCTGTACCCCAATAGTAGCGAGGGTTTGGGATTGGGGTTTACAGTGGCCCCCCGATAACGTTTTTTAACCCGTGCAAGAGGGGTAATTGTTTGCAAAAATTTCGGTATGTGAATAATTTTTCCCCCAAAGAAATAAGGGAAAATTTAAAATTAACCCGTGAAAGACACCAAAAGTATGAAAAAAAATTTTTTTTACAAAATGAAATTTTTAATTTTAATAACACAAATGAAAAAGGCATGCAAACTTAATGACACTTATTTTATTGAAGTTTGGGTGATGTTTTGATGGGAGGGGGAGGAGGGGAGAGAGAGTTTTAATGTTTAGAAGGGGAACCCCTTCCTTTAAAAAATTTGAGGTGGCAAGCCCTTTTTTTGGGGTTTACTTCCCTTCTTCTTTTAATGCCAGGGCCCAGCTTCGGGGTCTGGGATTTCTTTCGCACCATTTCTTTTCCATAGTGGCCTAAACCTCTCGTTCCTTTAGGGATTTCCCCAAAAGTGTTTCAAACTTTGTCAGTGAAAATAATCCCCAGAGGCTTCCCAATAGCTGTTTTGAGGGTGATTTTCATCCAAAAGGGTTTTGAAACTTCAAGCACTTTGACGATTTTTAATTTTGTAGTAGGCAACTTTTTAAATTTTTCTTTTCCCCTCCTCTAAACCCATTTTCCTCAGGTCTGGGCCTCTTGCTGTTGAAGTTGATTTTTCAGCTCATCAGGGTTTAGTTTTTTTCTTTGTCCTCCCCCAACTTTTCCACCCCTCCCCACTAACCCCCAAACCCCCCAAGGATTTTCCCCAAGGGCCCAAGGATTCCTAAAAGGGGCTTTAATCCTCTGGGGTTTTCCCAAAAACCCTTCCCCAAAATTTTTTTTGTTACACTTTCGGGGGGGGGCCCCACAGTTTTTCCCAAAGCAGATTTCAAGGTCTTCTTAGTCACCCCCTTCCCAAACCCTTTCCCTATAAGGTTTACAAAAAATTGGGATATTAAAGTGCTTAAAAAAACTCTCTTAGGGGTCGTTGAGTTTCTGGGGTTCATTTCAAAGCACCTTTAAAAACGAGCTTTTTTTGTTTCCATTTTTTTTGAAGTTTGAAATTTAATGCTGGCCCAGGGGCCCTGCAGGAGAGGATTGGTATTAGGGGCAAAAACTTCACCTTAATGAAGCTCATGTCCCTTTAAAGTCGCTCTCCCAAAGTTTTGTAGGATGACCGGGGGCATTGTTCTAACAAAAGGAGGCACTTAAGGCCCTAATTTTTTTCAGTTAGGTAATTTTAAAAATTTGGGGGAAAATGCATGGTGAAAACCGTTATAGAAAAAGCCCCCTAGTGCCCCCTCCCCTTACGGTTTCCCCTCCACAGCCAAAAAATTACCCTTTGAGGACATTTTTTTGGGCCTGAACGCTCTGGGAGTTTCAGAATGATACACTAATAAAGGTTAACTTTGAAAATCACCACTAGCTTTGGCAAACATCAAAAAAGTAAGCCTGTTTTTCTTTGGTTATGCCCTGGGATTTGCTTTTCCCCCTGAGAAATTTGTGGCCCTGCTTGGCTTTTTTCTTCCAGAACAGGCCTTTTTTAATCACAAAAAAACCAACTTGCTCAGGTTTCAGCCCTTCACTGTTATGTACTCCTTGAATTCCTGCACATTTTTTTTTAGCCGCTTTGTGGTCCAAACGGGAAAGGGGCCTCACCATCCCTTTATCCACTAGGGGATCCCAAATGTTCTTAAATTTCTCTAAAACCCAAACCTTTGCGGGCCTTTAAAAATTCACTCACATCATAAATTGTTGCGGGGCTTTTTTTTTAAATTAAAACCTCATGAAAATTTTCCTTAGCCTTTTCAAAATATGATGCTTGAGAGCCTTTCCCCTGTAGCTTTTTTTCATTTTTCCACCCCAATAAGAGTCTCCCCAACATCTTCCATCACTCAATTTTTGGGTTTTCGAAAACCATTTAAAACCTTTGGGCAAAAACAGTTCCTTGTTTGTTTTTTGGGGTCCCCACAATAGTAGCGATGGTTAAATTGGGGGTTTTCTTGTAAAAAATTGACTAGGTCGGCGATACGCATCCACTTTCATATTATCATGTTTCTCTTTTTTAATTTCTTTTGGAATTTCCCCTTATTGGTGTAGGGTTTGGGGCAAAAAACCCTTTCTTGGGGCCCATGGTAATTTTTTTTTCCCAGAAACAGCCCCAAAAAAACCTTTTAAAAATACGAAATTTTTCCCGGGGTGTATGTTTGGGTTTGTTACCGCGGAGGCTGGCTGGAAAACAATGGACGGGCGGACATGTGGGCTGGCGGGAGGGCGCACATTGGGAGCGTTCGGACAAAAAATGGGGTTGAGGGGGGTTTTTAATCCCCTATGCGGGGAAAAATTTTTTTGCGATTAAAGCAAGCGGTATGCGGATTAATCGCTATGTGATGCCTTTCGTTATGCGGGGGGTCCACTGTATTATAAAACCCTGGCCAGCTCGGAGCCACACCCCCACTTTCATACTTATCAATGATTTTTTCTTATCTTATTGTAATTCTCACCCTTTTTTGTTTTGGGTTTGGGCACTAGAAGCTTTTTTTGGGGGCCCCCATGGTCACTTATTTTCCAAAAAAAGCCCAAAAAACACTGAAAATAATACAAAAATATTCCGTTTGGTATGTTTGGATGTTAGCGGAGGCTGGGGGTTTTTAAACAATGAAACCGGGGGGAAACTTGTGAGCGTGGCTCAGGCCCACTTTGGACGCGTCTGGGGAGGGAAAATGGGTTTGTGAGGGGGTTTTTTAAGCGGTATGGAGGCAAAATTTTGGCGTTTAAAGAAAAGCGGTATGCGAA